GTGCAGGTTAGGGGCCTGGCTGATTCTGGATGGTTCCTGGATAACAAACAGTACAAATTCACAGACTGCCTGGATACAATCAGCTGTGCTCCCACTGAAGCCATAAAGAGAGGCATCAGGTAAGATGAAGACGATGCTCAAGGAGTGATATAGTGACTTTTTTTCCACCAGGGTGTCTAAACGTTTTTTTATTTGGCCAATACTATCCCTGTGTAGTAGCTTGGAGCAGCGAATGAATGAGGGATTGAAGCTACAACCAAGAACGGTGGGAGGGACGGCCAGACAGATTTTGAAAATGTGCGATGGTTTATGTTTGTGCAGGTACTGGGGAGGACTGGTGCCGGAGAGCTGCAGGCAGGCTCACGTGGGAGAGGAGTGGAACTGTTTCTTCGGATATAAAGTCTACCCCACATTAAAAAGTGAGTCACCACACACCCCGAGCCTCTCAGCTAGACAGAAGATGATGCGTCATTTAAAGTCTGACCCACGGAACGTCCTCTCTACCCTGCAGGCCCGGTGTTCGTGGCGCAGTGGCTCTTCGACGAGGCCCAGCTGACGGTCGATAACATCCACCTGACCGGACAGCCCATCCACGAGGGCCAGTGGAGGTACATCCAGAAATTGGGGCAGGAGCTGAGGCTTACGCTTCGTGACGTACCGTAAGGAAGAAAAACGCTCATACATGCTCACAGATATGATAAGACTTCAGTTTTTCTGACACTCTGCTCTTTCTGATTGACAGGGCGATGTTTGCACCGGCATGCCTGTCTCATGAGCTCATCACGAGAGCGTAAGTAAAAATCAAACCATAGATAGATAAATAGGGTAAATTTATACATAAATTGTACGTTGAGAAATTGAACCAGATTTGTGAATTTTAGTATTTTTGATTTTAAGAATAGTGGATTTGTGTGATCTCTGTAATCAGTTTTATGGATTATCCTTATGGCCCTTTTTTTGCAATATGAAGACTGATGATAGCAAACATTTCTAAGTATTGCCCCAAAAGTCTGCACTGTAAAGCAAATTCAGTGAAATCTGAACAATAGAGATCGTAGAGTGATTTCACTCAAAATTGAAATACTTCTTGAAATGTTGTTACGTATATGATTTATATGGGACTTCCAGCTTTGTTTTTATCATCTATCATCACACCAAGAAACTTTTGTTCAAGAACTCTTTCATTTTCCACATCATCTATATGAATCTGCACTTGTCAGTTTCTTTGGGAATTCCCAAATAGAACGATTTTAGTTTTACGTAGATTTAGTGATAGTTTGTTCCTGTCAAACCACTTTTTGATTTTGCACATTTCTGAAGTGATCGTATCCAGCAGCTCCTTTAGATTCCCCTCAGAACAAAAAATATTTGTATCATCTACAAATAACACTACTTTTAATATATCAGATACCTTACGAATATCATTTATATAAATAATTTTGGACCCAGTACAGAGCCTTGTGGAACACCACAAGCAATTTCCAAGCATGAGGTTATTAATTAATAAGTCGTGATTGATTGTATCAAACGCTTTCTCGAGGAATAATCCAGCTGCATACTGTTTCTGATGTTATAGCATTTGTGATCTCCTCGATTGATTCAATTAATGCCAGTGATCTTGATCTTTTCAATCTGAATCCATACTGACTGTCAGAGAGTAATTTATATTTATCTAAGAATCTAAAATCTGCCCAAACATAAATAAAATGTTTTGAAAAGGGGCATAAAAAGTTAAATAGAAGAAAGAAGAGAGCATCAGTGTTCAGGAACCAGTCCAGCTTGTCATCCAACAGAACCCCAGATATTTATAAGAGTGCACCACCACATGGCTGAGAAATCCACCAGCATCTCCTTGGTTTCAAGGGCATTGAGATGGAGGAAACTCCTACTGCACCAGTTTCTGAAGGTTCCTGCATTCCTGTCCCTGTCTGCTCCTGATACATGCTACAACAGCAGTATCATCAGAATATTTGTGGCAGGATTTTGAGCTGTATTTAAAATCTGCTGTATAGAGTGTGAACAGGAACGGGGCTAAAAAGGTCCCTGTGCTGCATCTCACTGTCCCAGAGAGTTTCCCAGACTAACAAACTGAGGTCCTTTTGTTAAGTTGTCTGTTTCCCTGGACATAAGGCAGGGATTCATACCCGTCTCCTCCAACTTGTGTCTCCATGAATTTTACTAAACGCACTTGAGAAATCAAACAATTAAATACTCATGAAGCATCAGTTTCTTATACTTGAGCGCACTTTTCCTGTGGACTGTTCTTCATCTTAGTAACCTTTGCTCCATCACTTTTGGTCTTCCCATCACTGCAGGGACTGGACGGACATCCGAGTGAAAGGAATCTCCCTCCCCAGAGCCCTCCACTGCTGGGACCGCAGCCTCCATCACAACCTCCACATCAACAGCAGCCACGGCCACCAAAAGCACACGACCCCTCCCGTGAGAGGTTGTCTTCTACAGCTGATCGACAGCTGCCCGTGGCCGCACTGCAACCCCTCCTGCCCGACCATTCGGGACCAGCTGACAGGACAAGAGATGAGCGTCATCCAGTTCCTGAAGCACATGGGCTTCGACGTGCAGAAGATGGCTCAGCAGCAGGGGATGGAGCCCAAGAAGCTACTGGGCATGCTCAATAACGGGAACTGAGACACATTTTCAGAAGAGTGGATGAAAACCGAGATATCCACCAACAAAATAAACACACAAAAGTGCCTCATGAGTTTTGACAATATCGTTCAGCTGAATACAATCAAACCAGTGTTTGAGCTCTTAAACTACAGTATATGAGATCACATCAGATCCACATAACCTCCATAAATATGCAGTTTTATGTACTGTATCATTTATATGTGCAGGTCCGTCTCCGGAGTTTTGATGGGAAAGACTGGAAACACTTCCCAGTTTGTTGTTGTGGATTTTTCCAGCATGTTCTTTGTGGGACTTTGGTGCTCACCTCTAAAATATCCAGTTCAGAAACCCATCTACGGTGCTGCTGTTTCAACCCTTCACCAAATATGCTGCTTTTTTTTCTCTTTATGGAAAAGATAATTTAATGGGTAATATTTACTGATATAAAGATGAAATATTACTTTGTTCTTCAGGCCACGGTTAAAGGATTTATTTATTTTTCTACTGAAGAGAACTTTTTATATTTCCTTATGGTCAAACACAGTTAACCACCTACATACCACCAACTACATATTTGGCTTTTTACCTGCATGTTTGTTTAAAGAAAAGAAGAAAGAAAGAAAAGAAAGTGTATGCTTGTAGAGTGCATTATGTCCATACTGTTCTTCAGGCTGTAAGCCTTATATTTTATTGTATGGTAGTAGTGCTCACTCCTTTTAAACGCACTAATAAAGACAAATACACGCTGAAATATGACAAAAAGATAATTTACTTACAAAACAGAACAGTGGCAGTTATCACCCAAGAAAAAAAATAACATCATTTACAACATAAACACACTCACACCAACAAGTAATAAATCCACCTACAGCATACATACTAACAACACAGTAGAATCTTTCCAGTAATAATAAACTTTTGTTCACATTTGCTATAAAAGTGCTTCTAAAAAAAGGAAGGGCTAAAGATTTCTTGTTATGCTGCCCATTTTATTACAGAAAGATTTACCTGTTTTATCCGCTTGTTTAGCTCCTCAGACTGTTCTTTTCTGTTCTTTCCCTCTCATGTCCCACCACTGTGACACTGCCTTTTCTTAAACTCTTTATCAGTTTGTGCATCTTTAAAGTAAACCAGCAACATCACAAGTAACATTCACGTAGATAAATAAACAGTCCCTTTTCCTTCTAACTACACACACTTCAACAATCTGCATTTGGCAAAATGAAACATCTACTGCTGCATAGTGATTTTGAGTGGTTAGTATTCCAGTTTTATCCACACAGGTTTAAAATTTCTGTGCTTGGTGGACTGAGGTTTGTATTCTGGAGAATCAGCTGCCTCAACATGTAGAGTCCTAAAAAAAGAAAGGAAATAACATGGAAGGTAAGAAAACGGTTGGATGTGCAGTCTGGTGTTGTAGCATTAGAAATGTCGGTGGTTATAAAGGTGACTGACTTGGCTTTTAAGACGTTTTCCAGCATCTTGTTTCTGCTTGTGGACAGACTGCAGCCGATTGATCAAGAACTTTTTATCTTCTCCCTCCTGAAGACACGCAGGAAAAAAGAAAAAGTACAAATACATTTCAGTGTATAACATCCTAGCACTGTGGTAAACTTGGACCGAAAAAACCCCCAAGATCTGTATTTGAACACTAGGTGGTGCCTTACATTTTCTATCTGATCCTGGAGTAAATTGATGATCTTCCTTTGACCGTCCACCACCTGACTATGGAAGTAGATCACTATCCTGATCAACAGAAAATCACAAAACAATCAAGTGTTTAAAAAGATAACACTGCTATCAGTGATATAGATCGTGTATGTGTGTGTGCGCTCACAGAAAGATGCCTGCTCCCACAAACAGGAAAAAGGGGTTTTCCACAAAATATGTGTGAGCCTTGGACAGCACGGACAGGCTGGGATTATCTTTTTCCAGTATTTCCATCCAGTGTTTTCCCGCCTTAAACATTGTCTCAAGCTTACGAAACGGACCACACGATGTAGACGGTGTGATGCTGAAGACACAGAAACAACAGATGTGTGAATGCCTCGAGTATTTGTGCAGGCCGGAAAACAAAAGACGAATCAAGTTCTGTTTCTTATTGTTGGAAAAAGTTTTTTGAAACTAACCCAGCCATGAATTTATAACCCTTCACTAAGGCTGAGCTCACACGTGTGTTTGTATCTATTATTCATCTCTTAGGGATACTGTCACATTACAGGGACCTGCCTCCCTCTTAGTGTCAAAAACATGATCTCCTCAAGTACCACTTAAATTCCAAGGTTTCCATTGAGGTTTCCAGCTGTTGGACTGAGAACATTATCAGTTCTGGGTTACTCACAGAGCTGAGAACCAATCTGTTCTTCAAAATCAAACCCATTCGCTCTTTGAAGAACAGTTTGACTTGTCAAGTGTTAACAATTACGTAACCCCTCTTTCACAATGAGTGTAGGAATCAGTAGGACAATGATAAACACACAAAAAAGCTACTGTTTGCTTAATAAAGTGCTTCGCAGATTGTGCTGTGCTGCAGGTTGTTTTTTTTAGGATTATTCTGCATTTGTGATTTCATTGGAATAGATAAGTGACCTGGTTTCATTCATGCAGCATTAATGTTGATGTGAACATGCCGGAGTTGCAGATGTAGTAGCTAGAGGAAAGGAGGGGGTTAAATCCTCTTTGAGCTGCCTGTTTGCGAGTACCTCCACATGGTATATGTGACACACACGGAGGCGCCGAGGAGGGAGGGGATGCAAAGGAGAGTGATGAAGATGGTGGTCATCTGGCTGGCTCTGTATGGCTTCCTGGGGGCCTGACAGTTCAACATCACACTGCTCTGTGGAATAAAGAAATAACACAAGAGCTGGGGTCAGAGGTCAATGCCTTCATAAGAAGTGTCAGAGGTTCAGGAGAAAGGTTGACAGTGAAGATGTGGCCCACTGAGCTCAGTGTCTACAGGTAAATTAAAGGTAAGACAGCAGAGACAAAATACAATATTTTAAGGCTATTTTGCTGCTTAATTAATCGAACAATGAGTCTACAGACATGTGAACACACGATTTAACCATTTTGTATAATAACTGGTGTGTGCAGATCCGTCCTGGATAGCTGCCTGCACACGGGTCTCTGCTTTGCCTTATCCCACCTTCCACAGCTGCCCAGAGCCTGACTGGAGGAGGGCCCAAGCCAGCACCCCGATCAGGCTCCAGGCAGCTGGTTTATAACGAAAGTCAAGCTTAAGCTGTGCTTTCAAGCGAACAACGTGCCTTTGGCCTCATTCCAGTTTGCATCCAGATTTTAAGGTTTCCTGGTATTATGTCCTGTGCTCCAGGATATTTATGTTATTTCTTGTAATGTTGAGGTCTGTAACATGCTTGTTTTGTTCCTCTGTATGACACACCTGCAAAACAGCAGGTGTGTCATACAGATGCAAAAAAGCATTCATAATAATTTGTGTGCCCTTTCCATTAATGGTCATCAAAGACGAACCATGGTGCAGTACATAGACAAATCGTGATTTATGTGCATGACAACATCCGCGACAAACAAGACCCTGACATGCATGCTAAAGCCTTAGAGAAGAAAAAAAGGAAAAGAAAAAAAAAAAACAACCCAAAACATCTGAGAGACAAACAATCTAAAACAACCACACTGTGCCAACCCTCAAGGCAAGAAGAGGTCTCAAGCTGAGGCGGCAGTGTTGTTTTGAAGACCTGTGTATTTTTGTTTTGGCGAGACAGTAATAATTCACTTCCCCAAACACCACACTGCAAGTATTTTGAGACACTGGCAGGATGCTCCTTTTTCACCTTTGATGGTTAAGAGTCAGGCTTAACTATTACCCTTCTGTTATAAGTTCCTTTTTGTTTTGTTTGGTTCTTTGTCACACCACCACCCTGTACCTCTAATTAGCTCTCACTAACTCTTTTGCAACAACAAACAAAAAACAGTTCCACCTTGAGCAAGTGCTTTCTGATTTTCTTTTTGAATGTCAGTGTCTCTTTTGTGCATTTACCATCTTTATGTAGAAGACCAGAAATAGTTTGAGAATCTGCACCGCAGGCAGGACTGGACTGAAGAGAACTCCCAACCTGAAGAAACACAAACATAATTCTCATCCATCAGAATGAAGAGTTTGTCGCAGCAGGGCCACTTCACTGTGTGCACATCTAAAGAGATTTGTACCAGGCTAACGTCTGTCCATAGATGAGATCCAGGACGTTCCTGGCGATATCAAACACTGGTTTCCTCTTCCTTTTCAGCACCTTTTCAGAAAACAACCTGCCAAAGGCCAGAGGAGACATGAGATGAGTTAATGTAATAAAAGAACTTGACTAAAAGTACATAAAGAGATAAAAGTTGAATTACATTTAATGAGAGAAAAAAAGACAAACCAAGAAAGAACTTGTTGAAGTGACCCACCTCCAAAGTAACTCGCCAAACAGCGTGTCCAGTAGAGTGAAGATGAAGTCCATGAGCAGGAAGCGATAAAGCTCCTGACCCACAAAATCCTCCCAGCACTGAGATAACAGACATAGTCAAAACAAACTTGTGATTAGAAACCCTTCATTCACACAGTTGTCTACTCTGGTAGCTTCAAAGTGTAATTTCTTGTTTATGTTACCGTCAGGCCAATGCTTTTGTATTCAGGAGCCACCCGACCCAGCCAGTGGAAGCAGAGAACTCCGAGCATGCTCGTCTTCAACATCAAATTCCTAGAAAACACAGAGTGAGACTGTTAACAACCAAATCCATCAGTTCTGTACTCTAACCTCTGACATTACTCAACCACATAATGCTCTGCTCGTACCGGCCAATGGCGACATATGCGAAATAAGAAGGTGACTCGTAGGTCTCCATCCAGCCGACGAGGTTGAACAGGGCAGGTAACAGCAGGTTAATGACAGAAACCACCGTAGGCAGAGACAACAATCTGGCCTCTTTCATCAAAGGGTTCGCGTCAAGATTACGATGGTTTTGCTGCAGGTCCTAAGCAAGAAGAAACAAGGTGTCGATAAGCTGTTCAGTTACATTACTGAAAAATATTGGTTTGATTGTGCAATATTTTTAGTCGATACATATCATGACTGAACCTGACTATAATCATAGATGTATATAAATTTGAAATGAATGAAATTGTAAGAAAAGTGGGAAATATAAGATGTATAAATAGATTAAATTCATTTTAGAAGCAGCAGGAGAAATTTCGATGTTACTGTGATGCTGAAACCGTGCACCTAGTCACTAATCTGTGTGATATACAGGAAGTACAGTATTGCAAATGAAACATCCCGTGTTAACAAGCTCCGTGTTAACAAGCTCCCTGTTTAAAGAGCGATATGGAACAAAGACTTTATGACACACTGGGGAGGACAATCCATCCAGCCTCACCTTGTGGATAAACTCAGAGAAGTAGTAAACGCCAGCCATACAGCCAGTGGTGCTTGCTATGCAGATTGTCCATGCCACTCCATGAACCATCAGCCTACAGAACCTTTTGCAGAAAGTGCTCTTGGTATGCTTTTGAGTCAGCTCTGCCAGCAGCTCCTGGTGAGGGGGGAGGAGAAGGGTGGTGTGAGGGAGAGATACAGACCACAATGAATGTTTCAGGTCAGCACATTCCTGCCAGTCAGCGTCTACAATGTGAACGAGCGTCCTGTTTGTTTGCATGCTTACCTTGAGCTGTGTGCCGATATTTTCAGACATGATTTGAACAGACTTTTTCTTGATGACTTTAAAATCCCAGCAGCTGAAGGTCTTCATAGTCAAGATACTATTAGATTTGTTGATTCTGAAGCTCCGACCAAATGTTTTCGACATGCTGTTGGGAGATGACGTGTAAACAACAACAAAGCAAGAATGATGTGGATACAGT